ATGCATCTAGGAATAGGATGAATTAGGTGAGACTTGGTGGACCAACAAGTTTATTCACTTCTAAAATAGATTAGCCGGTCCAGTAGTAAGGTTAATATTTTCAAAAATCTTTCCATTTCATGGATGCTAGCTACATCAACAAGTTCAGGTTTAATTCATAAAATTAAGCAAGATTAAAATTGTGCTAGTGAAATTATTTCCCCTAACAAATCCTATATACTTTAACTTATGTTTTCCATCTTTGGTGTTTGGGTCTCTATTTTGCCATTTAAGTAGAATAGTTAGCAAATTTCTATTTCAGTATTTAAATTCCTAGGAACTTACACTTTTCTCAATTAACAACCAAATTAGGTTAAAAGTTGCCGAAAATCACAAAAATTAGTCCTCATGGGATTGACACTCCACTCACACATTACTTGAATTAGATAGTGCACTTGCTAAAAAGGCATGTTGAAGACTCACAAATGTCAACAAAATTTGACCTAACACGTTAAATTAATAGCATTTTTTGTTGATAGCCACCAACTAAAACTTCTACAATTGGAAGAAGATATGGACTTGTCTACTTGATTTTCAAAGTGAATTTCAGCTAGTTTTTATCGCTTTAGCTAAATAGTTAGTTTTATTCTTTTTTTGGCTAGTTGTTTGATTTAGTAGTTTTTAAATCCATAGTTAGGTAGTGTAGTATACTCTAAATTTTCTCTTATTATTGTTAGCATTGTTTAATTTTTGTTACATTTTCTTTATTTTAGTTTACTTTTCTTTTTAGGATTAGTTACCAACTTGAGCTTTTGTGTCATAGTCTTGTGAGTGAATCATTTTCAGCTTGTTCCCACCTCTAAAAATATATCTTCTAATCTACTATTATAGAAGTCTTGAATGTTGAAATTTGGTTTGAGTTATCTGATTCTTATTTGATCTCTTTATGTGCAAGATTTTAGCTTATAATTGGAAACTCTCAAAAGTTGTGTAAGTTCTATCAAAATTCAGCATTCTATAGATCTGAAAATTTTTGAATTTGATTATCATTCAAGTGCAAGACCAAAAGCCAAGTGGAATCTCTTAAAGAGTTTAATCCAAAATTGAAAGGACTCTCCATATCTCGAGATGAGTTTCAACTATAAACAGAGATCAATAGTAGTGAATAGAGTAGGATTTACAATGAAAAATGGAAAATGGAAAGGCCCAACCTAAGGCACCCAAGTCTTTAAGAGAATATGCAACCCCTAGCTTTACTAGAGCCAAATCAAGTATTCTAAGATCGGGGGTAAATGCGAACAACTTCAAGATAAAATCAATTGTCATTACTATGATCCAATCTAACCAATTTGGGTAGTTTGCCCCTTTAAGATCCAAATGTGCATTTAAGAACCTTTCTTGAGATATGAAATACCTTTAGATATAATGGAGTATCTAGAGATGCGGTGAGGCTTAGATTGCTCTCATTTTCCTTAAGGGACAACGCTAAGGGTTAGCTTGCATCCTTACCATCAAGCTTTATTACAACTTGGCAATCTATGGAGGAGAAGTTTCTAGCTAAGTGTTTCCCTCCTTCTAAGACATCAAAACTAATAAATGAGATTTTGGCATTCCAACAAGGTGACATGGAATTCTTATAATGCTTAGGAGAGATACAAGTAGATTCTAAGGAAGGTGCCTAACCATGGTTATGCATTTGACTTCAAATACAAACATTCTATAATGGGATAAATCATTCTAATAAGGGGATGATAGATACATTAACTGGGGGCTCTGTCATGAACAAATCTCCTAGGGAAGCCTTCAAATTGTTTGAAGAAATGGCTGAAAACTCCTTCTGATAGCCTAATGATAGGATGCCAACAAGAAGAGGATCAGGAATCTACAATGTGGATTAGATCATTTCACTTGTAGCTCAATTGGAGATTTTAAATAGGAAAATAGGTAATCTTGTTGTCCAACCATCTCAAGCGGTAATGAATGTGCAAGTAGCTAATCCATGTGATTTTTGTGGGGAGGTCATCCTAACCATGAGTGCCAAGCAAGTAATAGCAATATGTCATCTCAACAGAATGTAAACTTTGTGTCCAATGCCATCAATCGAACCAATCCTCAATAATTTAACAAAAGCAATCCCTTCAACAACACTTATAGTCTCATGTGGCGAAATCATCCAAGTTTCTCTTAGAACCAAGAAGTAAGGGTGTCATAACCTAGTGGTCTCCAACAACCATCAAGTTTTCAACCAAGGCAAGAACAAAAAGGGCCACCAAAACCTAGCTTGAAGGACATGATATCTAAATTCATTTCTAATGTTGAGTAGAAATTCACCAATCAAGAGACAAGTATCAAAAATTTAGAAGTTCAAATTGGTCAACTTGCTAACATTGTAGCGAATAGAGCTCAAGGTTCTTTACCTAGCAACACTGAAAAGAATTCAAGGGAGCAAGCCAAGTCAATTACCTTGAAAGGTAGAAGGCAGTTGGAAGAGCATGTTCAAGTTTTAGATTATGGAATGGAAGTTGAAATTTTAGAAAATAAAAAATGGAGATTGGTGGACCTTATAACTCTGTAGATATAGGGACTAAGCAGTTTTAGCAGCCTAGTTATTTTAAAACTCACAATTAGCAAGGGACTAGGCAGTTTCAATAGCCTTTCCGTGAGGAAACACAATAGGAAAGGCAACAAATTCAACAAGTTCTAAGGGGGGGAATTTCAAGAACTTCAACAACCTATTCACCAACTTACTAAGAATCTGCAATGAGCCCAAACTTATAGATTTAGAGAAAATTGTTAAGAGAGATAAATCTAAAAAATCTATAGTTTCAAAAGAAAATTCAACAGAGAACAAATCTATAAAATTTGAGGACATGCCTATAGTTTTAGCAAGTCTAAAGGCAAATGAAACACCTATTGTCACTCTTAAGAGCAGGAGGAAGCTTGAAGGCCCAAAGGTCTATAAAAATGAGCCAACCAAAGAGAGTGAGAAAGAGGAGGTGATTGCAAACTCTTAGAAAATTCAATAGTATCCTCACCATATACAACATGAGGAAAGACAAATTGAAGTTGATAAGGAAAGCACAGCCATGGCAAGAGTAGAATAAAGAGAATGAAGAAGCCAAAAATGCAACACAAGCTACAGAATTGGAAAATATTCAGGGAGCTCAAGCAAAAACTAGCAAAGAAGAGGAAGGAGAGGATCTAAAGGGAATTAAGGCTAAAATTCCCGAGAACTTGGACTTGAACCTTCTATATCCTCAAAAATACAAGTAAGAGCAGCTTGACAAGCAATTCTCAAAATTCTTGGAGATTTGAAAGAACTAAGTGTCAACATGTCCTTTTTAGAAGTGATATCTCAAATGCCTACCTATGCAAAACTCTTAAGAGATATTCTCTCAAACAAAAGAAAGATAGAGGAGACAAGCATGGTAAGACTGACTCAACAAGGCAATGCCATCTTGCAAACCAAGATCCTACCAAAGTTAAATGAACCAAAGAGTCTCACTATGCTTTGCACTATAGGATCTACTAGAACGTTATGTGATTTAGGTGCAAGCATTAATTTAATGTCTTACTCTATATTTGCTAGGTTGGGTGTGGGTAAACTTAAGGAAACTGAACTGATGCTTCAATTTGTTGACAATTCAGTCATGAGACCCAAAGGCATGGTAGAGGATGTCTTTGTAAAAGTTGATAAATTCACTGTTCTTAAGACATGTTAGGAAATGAGGATAGCAACACTATTTTAGGGACACCATTTTTGGCAACTGAAAGATCATTAATAGATATTCAACTAGGGAGAATATTTTTGGGGTAAATAATGTGGATTTAGCATTTAGCATTGGAAATTATATGAAATATGCCTTAGATTTTCTTTCTTGTTTATCTATAGATGTTTGCTATGATATCCCTATATTATTGTTAATGAGTTATTGATGCATTGTTTTAGGATGATGGTGAGAAATTTTTGGAAGAAGGCTTATAAGAAGAAGATGAAGAGTATGAAGAGAAAACTGAAAATTTTAAGGAGGAGTTCCCTAAACTTAAACTTAAAGAATTGCCTTCTCAACTTAAATATGCATTTCTTGAACATAATACTTATCCTATCATTTGTTCTTGTTCTTTGACAGATTAGATGGACTAGAAGTTGCTTGGGGTGTTAAGGAAGCATAAGAAGGCAATGCTATAGACCATGGCTGACATCAAGGGAATTTCTTTAATGGCATGCATCCATAGAATACTTCTAGAGGACAATACCAAACCTGTAATTTAGCACCAACGAAAGCTCAATCTTCCATTGTAAGAGGTAGTGAAGAAAGAAATCATCAAGTTACTTGATGCAAAAATCATTAAGAGATATTGAAGGGTGATATTAGCATTAGCATGGCTAGGGATTCCTCAAAAATTTATTAAAATTATTTGAAAAAAACATAGCATAGTGAGACTATTAAGTAGTTTGTAAACATGAATGTGGTGTCTCACATTAAAAAATTAGAGAAGGGAATTGTACCATATTTAGAAGCCCAATTCTAGTCTAACAAAAAGAATTATCCATCAATCATCGAAGGTGACTTGCATATATATAATCTTAATGAACTTGCACTTTAACTTGGGCTTGGCTTTGATTTAAAGAGAACCATATTTTTACATAAAACCTTTCCTAAAATAAATTAAAGTAAGTGTAGCTAAGAATTATATTCACAACAGACACATTCGTTTAAAAATACTTTCTATCAAACCTTTGTCCTATTCTTCTATATTATTAATAGAAAACATACTTTCTAAATTGCATCATGACACAACAAAATTTTTTTAAAAAATGATAAAGAAAAACCAATGTAAACTTCTTCATTTTTAACTTATGGAAAGAGCTAGTGAAGCAAATAATACTTTTAACATTGAGCTAGGACCAATTAAGACATCTCCTCGATACCAACTGTACATTAATTGGTCTTTATTTTTACTTTTATCTTTTTGTTATCAACCTGAAATCAGAATTTGGAAAGAGTATTCGGCCCTACTCATCCAAAAGTGCACCTTTTCAGGTCTTCAATAATAGCTATCAAATCACGATCAGATGACCCACCTTCCTCTATTGCCTTCTTCGCCTTCATTTCAAAATCTTTCGCTCGCTGCCTCATTTGCTTTGCTTCATGTGAACCACCCATCAAAAATTTTATAGCCTTCACAAATTCTTCTTTCTCTACCACTGGACTTGTGAGATCAAATGTCATGTTCCACACCCTGGGCCCAATCTCCACCCCAATCTTCAGCACTTGAGTCACCAGCTTCGAGTTGTAGAAGTGCTCTGCATACATTGGCCACAAGATCAATGGCAACCCAGCGATCATGCTCTCTATGACGGAGTTTCCACCCCCATGGCTCAAGAACCCGGCAATAGCGGGGTGGTCTAAGATCTGAACCTGTGGTGCCCAGCCTTTGATTATCACTCCTCTGTTAGATTTTACAATCTTTTCCTCAAATTCTTCCAGCAACCAATTTTCCTCCGCTTCCTCCTCCCTTCTCACCACCAAAACAAATGGGTAACTAGCTGATTCGAGGGCGAGTGCAAGCTGGGTGAGTTGGGAATCGGAGAATCGGACCATGCCTCCAAAACAGGTGTAGAGGACAGAATTGGGCTTTTGAGTGTCGAGCCAACTAAGACAATGGTGCCTCTTCGTTTCTGAGTTGTTCTCATTTCCGATTTTGCCCTTGTTGGCGAAGAGGGAGAGGGGCCCCAAGCTCCAACAATTTACTCCGGTGGATTTCTTAAAGTGATCGATGTAACTAGGCTCTAGTTCATAAAAACTGCCAAAAATTACGCCATAGCTACGATGCTCTGCTTCTATGGCGGAATCAAACCAATCCCCATAGGGCGACGATTTGGTCTTCAAGTGCTCCTCTAACTCTGAACGCGCCATATGAATCTTATCAGGTAGGCCAGGAATCAGGAAATCCTCAGTTTCAGACTGTACCTATTTAAGATTGACACGACGAACTAGTATAAACACTTTAAAGAAAGCTAAATTCCAAATATGATAACCCAAGCAACTAGATGTGCATAATAGAACCAATTGACCAAATTAAAGCAAACTAAATTGGCTTTTAAGACTTGATTTGATTTTTATTAAATTTAATTTGATTTGATTTAGGTCAGAAAATAATTTAAGTTTTATACTTTGATTCAGTCTAGAAGCAAAAATAAAGTATTTTGATTCATAAATCAAAATTTTGAAAAAACTTTTAAGAAGAAAATTGTGAAATAAGAAGGAGTTGTTTGGTAAGGTTTTTAAGGAGTGTTTTTAAGTTCTAAAATTATTTTTAAACAATTTTTTAAAATTTTAGTGAAAGAAAATTAAAAATATTTTAATTAAATTTCAAAAAGAAATTAGTTGAAATAATACTTGAAGTTTGCTTCATGCTTTTATTTTTTATATAAATTGCTTGTTATATACTATATCATAATAATATTTATGCTACATATAGATAATCAGATAACTGATTTATTTAATAATTTATTAATTGAAAATAATATATAATTAAATAAATTTATTTATTTAATAATTATTAAATGATAATAAATCAAAACCTAAAAATAAACCGAATTAAATGAAATAGTTTGACTTGTAATTAATTTGGTTTAAATTAAATTTTTAAACAACTAAACCAAAAAAAAAAAATCAAACTTAATTATAAAAGTTAAATTAAATTTTTGATTTGCATACTCCAACCGCAACCAACTTAGGTTTGGGCTGGGTGATGACTTTCATGAACTTTGGATACTCGAGCGACCATTTGAGAAAGAAAGTATGAGCCACCATACGAAACCATATTTGAAATTTAGCCTATCATAGTATTCTGACTTTCTATGACATAGAAAATCAAATAACCAGAATCAAAATTTAAAAAAAAAAATTAATAATAATAAAATAATAATAATAATAATAATAATAATAATAATAATAATAATAATAAATCCCTCGTAAATGATTATCTACGTTCTATCAGCACCTTTTTATGAGGTTCATGAACCTTCAAACTATCATAGACACATCTAGGGAAAGCGAGACATGGGTACACGATGACCCTTGGAATTTTGAGCTCCTCGGCCAGGTCGACTGTCCAAGGGTGGAACATATCCGAGACGATGCAATCGGGTCGAATCTCACGGATGAGCTGCTCCATGGGTTTCTGAAGTAATGCGATGCCGTTGTAGAGATTCCTTGACATGGACGGGATGCACTGGCTAAAGTTCTCAATGCCTTCGGGCAACCCCACCTCGGCCGCTGGAAATTTAAGCGCACGAACGGAGATTTCGTGGCCAGCAGCGGTGTCGTGGCGAACAGACGCTTCGAAGAGTCCAGCGTTGCCGGTGGTCGTGATGATGATGGCGGTGACGCCACGAGCGGCAAAGAGCCGGGCTGTGTCAACCAGGGCGACCATGTGGCTGGCAGAGAAGTAGGGGAGAAAGAGGATAGTGAGCTTGCGACCTTCGTTCGCCATCGATTAGCTGCGGTTGGAAGAAGAATCGTATAGATTGCGGAAAAGATGATTTTATTCTGTTTGTGCAGAAGAAGATGAAGGCTGCTCCGCAAAGTCACAAGTAGCTTATGGATTGCAGACGCTTTAAATAAATAAACGAGGATTAAAAAAAATTAAAAAAGAAGCTTGAAGAAGAATCAGAGCTAAAGCGTGGAACGCGTGGATTAAGCGTATTTATGAAGAGTGATTTTGCAATTATCGAGATAACTTTTCACTTACATAGTGTTTATAAATCAGTTTTCAGCTGTTATTTTTATTTTTTAAGTTAAAAATTTAAAATAAAAATTATTTTTAAAATTTAAAATATTAATAAATATTTTAAATTTAATAATATAATTATAAATAAATAAAAATCCTGTTACAGTAATTTTAGGTAATTCTATTTTTAAATATTTTATTTAATTTTTAAATTATTATTACCTTTTACTCTTTTTTCTTTTTCTTTTTCTTTTTCTTTCTACACAATTTATCATTAAATCTACACAAACCTAACTCTAACAACGACATCGTAACAAGTAGAGATGTAAATGAATTCAGGTTTTGCGGGTACTTAAACTATTTACTCGACTTGGATTCGGATTCGGTTATTATAATTTAGTTTCTGGGTCGAGTTCGGTTGTAGGGTGTTATATTTTTTCGGATTCAGGTTCGGATATGATTTTTATGTAATAATATCCAAATATCCGAATACTCATACCCATATATCTGTATACCCATATTCCAGTTACCCGTATTATATACTCCGAATTTCATACATATATATATATATATATTTATATATACATATATATATACATATTTATGTATAACATCCTCAAATATTTTTCTTATATGAACATCATAACTCATAGGATGTATAATATTGGTAGTTCAAAAATTTTTGAAAAATTATAAAAACATATTTTAAAAATAAAAGGATTTAACTATTTATATGAAAATATGTATTGATTAAATTGAAAAATAACATCTAATAAAGTTAAATTACGATGAAACTAAACTTTAATAACTATATAAATTCAAATTTAATAATTATTCTATTAAATATTTGACAAACAAAAAATGGTTTTGAACTAGTACGGAAACATATCTTTTTTGTGTTTGTCACACTCATAGTATAGTGATCAAATTATTATTCAATTTTGACATTTAAAATAAATATTAAACAAAACAAAAAATACCATTCTTGATAAAAACTATAATTTAAACTAATAAAAGCTAAAATTATAATAAAATATTTTACTAAAATTATAACAAATTAATTTAAATCAATTTAAAAAATGTTTAAAGTTTTTGATTGATTTATAACAAAGCACATGACAGCTAAGATGACAAAAATATACAATAATCATTTATTGTTCTCATAAGTGATTAACAAATAGAGGATTAGAACAAGTTTATAAAAGATGATGATTGCAAAAAGGAATTGTCCTCCGTAGCTCTATTATTTATTTTGTTTTCTTTTTTTCGTTTTAATAAAAAATACTAATAATTTAAATTTTTAAAATAAATTTTTTTAAATCTAATTCCAATCAAATTCCATCAATTCCTATTAATTTTGATAGGATTTTATGGGATTTTAACAAATTAAGTAAAATCTCCTCAAATCCCATCAAATCCAAATGCCTTTTTCTAATTTTTTTATCCAAACGTTAAAAATAGAATTTTGAAATTCAAATCTCATCAAAATTTCATTAAATGTTGAGTTGCCGAAAATAAGGATCACATTTATATATCTAATAAAATAGATAATATTTTTTGTCAGTACTTCTTAACACTTTAAAAGTAAAAATATGATAATTTTAAAATTTTTAAATATACTTTTAAAAGTTTTTCTCTAAAAAATATTAACTTTAATCTAAGTAAACTGCACCATAAAACAATTCTCCAAATACTATTTCTTTTTTTTTTTTCCAAAATTCCTTTCTTCTCAATTTTATTTAGAAAAACAAATCCATTTCCTTCTATACTGAAGTTACCACGTGGAAAATTTCAAAAGGTAATATTTAATTTGAAAACTGGAAAACAACATTGCATTTAAAGTCATTGATCAAGTTTGACTTTCTTATAATTGATTATATATTTTTGATTTAAAGCATAAAACTGGCGTTGGCTTTAATTCTTTCCCTCCAACGGTTCATTTCACCATGACTCTGCAAGTCCTTTCATCTTCTGGCCAAAATGCAAGCAAAAGGGAAATCCTAGCCGTGTTACGCATCATCTACGGCCTTCTTATCTACTTCTAAATCCCTACTCTGTTCTTTTGAATTGTAACCACGAGTAAGTTTTGTTCTTCTTCTTTTCTGTACATACTAATCCTCTATATTAGACCTTTAATTATGCTCTGTTCTTTATGCTTTATTTATGCTTCATACTAGTATACAGTTTGGGTGATAAAATCTTGTAAGCAACTATTATACTTCCAATTATGCTCTGTTCTTTTTACCTTATTTCTACTTCATGGTAATATACAGTTGGGGTGATAAAATATTGTTGTAAATTTGTTCTAATTCTAATAAATATTGTACTTTTATGTACAATATTTTACAGTTTCTGATAAGATAAGATTATTTCCTATTGATTGTTCTCGTGATTCCATATTCTACTGGAACGGCCTTAATTTTGCATTAGTAGACTCGTGCAATCCCTCTCCCGTGAAATTGACTCAAACCTCCAGAGAAATTCAAGATATGACAAATCCCGCAAGTACAAGCCCATGTAAGCAAAGTAGTTTGGAAGCATACTAGTTAAGAGTTGGTCATATCAATTCAGCAATACTAAGAATAATGTGTGTTACCTGTTTTTCCTAACTATTTTAGGTAAGATTCAGCTAAATCCCTCAAAATTACTACACCCATTATCTTTCATCGTACTTTCCTGGGAAGCAATATAATCATAATGTTTAAATACTGCAGTATTGTTTTCAATAAGAAAATGATACTATCGGGTGTAAATTTTAATTACTTGCTATCAACAATAGATTCCCCAAACATGGATTTCCATCTTTTTCTACTAATTTTTTGTTATGCTTACACTAGCAGGCCCCAAACAAGGTGAATTAAATAGAAAATAAATAAATAGAAAACAAAAAAGAACACAAGAAAAGGATGAGACATCTTTGTCAGACTGTTGTTACTTGGTATAAACGGATGGGGCTTTATTAATAAAATATCCAAAACCGAAAAGTAATAAAGAGAAAAGTTCATTTGAAGGTCATATGCAAGAAGAACATGATTCTCATGTTTAGATCATCCACGACATGAAATCTTGGAATTGCAGCATTTAATGTTTGCTGGAATGTCATTTAAATTAATAACTTTGCCAATGATATTTTAGATTTGGAAATTCCTAAGATCTTAATAGTCAGATTTTATATGGTACGACAAGGGAGATGACAAAAACAGAATTCTAACACTAAAAGAAAAAAGATAGCTCTGTTCATAGAACTCTTAAGAGGCTTGGTGGATTTTTGCAAAATACAATGGTATATAATAGAAATAGGGGAACAATTGAGAATACTTCTGAGATAAGGTTTTGGCCAAGTGTTTTACCATTGCATAGCTTTTTTTATTTTTGTCTTTATTAAGAGTATTTTATTAATCCTTGCTAATTTTAATTTTTCAAATAAAAAATTATGTTAAATGACTTGACATGTCATTGGAATATTAGATATTCACTTTTGACATAAACCAAGTATTTTATTTTTAATTTATTTATTTGTTACATGAAAATGCCAAAATTTGTAAATAATTAAAGTTAGAAACTTAATAAAAATATGGAGTATATGATGCACATCATATTGGATAAAATAAAATTACAATTCTAATTTAATTTTCTACTTTGCTGATTGAAAAATGTCTGAAGCTGTGGATAATGCATCCCCTCCATCATTGGAATCCAATAGAGAGGTTGATAACCCACCACAAGCACAAAATACTAGTGCTAGATCAACACAAATTAATATTGATAATGAAGGTGAGCAAGAAGCAATTACAAGGCACAAAAAGTTGACCTCTAGTGTTTGGCAATATTTTGAAAGGAAAAAAATTGGAGGACAGATCAAAGCAATTTGTAAGGAATGTAAAAAAGCCTTGGCAGGATATGGAACTGCAGGAACTAGTCATTTGCGTGCACACCTTGACAAGACTTGCCCAAAAAGGAGAAATAAATCAATTTCTGATATGCATCATCAATATAATTTGAAGGTAGAAGGAGTTCAAGGTCAAACAACTAGTGGAGAGAAAGTAACAGTTGTAAATTACACATTTGATCAGGAAAGATCCAGGAGGGATTTAGTTAAGATGATAATTGCTCATGAATATCCTCTATTAATGGTAGAGCACAAATTTTTTAGAAAATTCATGAGTAGTGTGCAACCAAATTTTAAGGTGATTTCTAGAAACACAATTCGTAATGATTTCCTATATTTCTACGATGAATGCAAGCAAAACAAGTGCACTTCTGAAAAAAAAAATCATAGTAGAATTGCCATTACTACTGACATGTGGACTACTCAAATACAAAAGAAGGGTTTTATGGCTATTACTGCACACTGGCTAGATGATGATTGGAAATTGCAAAGTCGTGTTCTCAGGTAATTTTAATTTTCATTACTATTGTTTATATATTTTAGATATAAATATTCATAATTTACATGTAATTAACTTGCTGTTAAATTATCTCTTATAGATTTGCATATGTGCCAAACCCGCATACTTCTGAAAGTCTTGCTAATGCGTTGATGAGAACTTTTGTACATTGGAGTATTGAGAAAAAGCTATCTACCTTGACAATGGATAATTGCTCAACCAATGACGGTGTTATTTCATTCTTAAAGGACAAGCTTGAAAAGAGGCCCATGATTTTGCGAGGAGATTTATTTCACATGAGGTGTGCCGCACATATATTGAACTTAATTGTTCAAGAAGGGTTGCAAGTCATAAGTGTTGGAATTGAGAAAATTC